AATAAACTATTACAGCTAATGTTTATGTTTTGTGGCCAGCAGCTATGTAATAAGCATAATAAAGTACATCCAGATGGTTGTTTTCTCAGAATAAACCCTTCAGTCTTCTACAGCAGTGCTGCGCTTCACCTCAGGCTGCAGATGAACCTGTCAGGCTTCATTCTGAGATGGATCTACTTTATCCCAAACACATTTTAGGCAATAACAAAAGTAATTTTCCTGATATATGTACTGATTTCTCTGCTCTGCTCCTGTATGTTGTCCTGTTTCTCTGCTGTCCAGTGTTAAATATTACCACAGACCCTGAGTTACCGGTGCCGGAGGGAAAGAGTGTGACCGTAAACTGCTCTGTTGACCTGCCAAATGCTTCATTCAGCTGGATCAAAGATGGAGAACTGCAAACTAATGAGAAGACATCAATGTTACTCATCAACACACTCCTGGAAAGCACAACGGTGGAGTGTCACGTCAACAGCAGCATCTGTGGAGACTTCAATAGTACTTTAACTATTACTGTAAAAGGTGACTGAACTGCACACATACAGTCAGATCATGCACAATTATATAGAGTTGAAGTCTAAATGTAACTAAACCCTGTTCAATTTGTATTGTTAACCAAGTATAAATGTTTAACAACCAAACCGAAAATGAGCATGCCCATAAACTTCTGGAGTCATTCATTTTACAGGCGATCCATTCATTCTGACAGGGTTAATCCTGGTAAATCTAAAATTCCAAGTTTACAATCTTGATGTTTTTTTCCCAAATCCTGGATTTACATCTTGCAGTTTTGTTTATTAAATTAAATTTTTCAGATTCAGATTTTTTACACACAATTTTACATCAAGTTTACATCTTGCAATTCTGACCTTTTATTTCCAAATCCTGAATGTACGTGCATCTCACAATTCTGATACAGATTGACAATTATATACTATTGAAGTCCAAATTTTATTAAATCCTGATTGTTTTTCTTTTTCAAATATAAATGTATAACATCCAAAACTTAAGATCCAAACCTTAACATCCAAACCAAAAATTAACATCCCTGAATGTCTGGAAACAGGAATTTTTACAGGATTATCCTAGTAATTCTAGAGTTTATGCACACAGTTTTACATTGTTTATATTTTAAACTCTTTTTTTTTTTCAAATCCTGGATTTACATGTCACAATTCTGATTTTTAAAAATTATATTATTTTTAGATTCAGATTTTTTAGATTCAGATTAATCTCAATTATGTACAGTTGAAATCAAAATTAAACCCTGTTAGATTTGTATTCTTTTTTCAAATATAAAGGTTTAACAAAGCAAAATTTCCTATATTTGTTTTTTTTTCTGAAGGTCTCATTTCTCTGAGTGTGCCTGTAATAAATTTGTTTTTTAAATAAAAAAAAATTAACTCAATATTTCTATCAACCCTTTAAAGAATTTTCCTCTAGCTTACATGTAATATTTATTAATTGTTTTTAAAATTGCTTAGTTTTTTGTCTAGTCTTTTTCTGCATGTATCCTTGTACAGTAAGTATCTTTTACCCATGCACTTTTTAAAGTGCTCTGAGATTCTATAAAGGCGCTATAAAAAAAAGCTTTATTATTATTATACATTATTTAAAAAATATTGAATAATGATTACAAATGATTTTAAGTTACTTGAACTTATTTTAATACATTAAACAGGTTTCATCAGTTACATTTGTTAGGTTATGCCAAGCTTAACTTAATATGTTTTGATTGTTTTAAGTTAAGACGACTCATTTGATTCAACTGAAAAAATTAAGTCAGCAGGAATTGTTTTACAGTGCAGGAATAAATGACATTTAAAAATATCTTCATAATGAAAAATAGTTGCAACATTGTAGCGATATTTCAAAATAGTTTCGTTTTTGTGATCACATAAATGCAGCTTCAAAATAAAAACAATTAATTAAAAATAACGAATGATAATTATTCCTCTTCAGAACAGAAGAGCCGTGTTTATGTTTTAGGTTTTTATCAGTGGTGTCTCACCTGCCCTGTGTGTGTGTGTGTGTGTGTTCTGTTCGTCAGCTGGTGATTATCTGGTGATTATTCTGGTGTGTGTCGGAGCTGCTGCTGCTCTGCTGATGCTCTTTGCCATCGGGATGAAGGTCGCACTGAGAAGAGGACAAGGTACATCTGTAAAACACACACACACACACACACACACACACACACACACAAACACAGTTCTGGCTTTTCTAAAGTATGTTTGCAGGCTTTATTTACAAACACTTCATTATATTTGCTTTCATTCGACTCTCTTGTTTATTAAACAGGTCATTTACCAACAAAAATGCATTCAAATTAAGATAAAAAGCATACCAAACTATTATAAATATGCAAACGCTGCATGAAGAGGTCAAAGAATTGTGTGTCTGACCCACTTCTGTTCTTCCGGCTTACTGCTGTTACATTGCCCATGCCTTAATGATGCTCACATCACACTGAAGAATCAAAACACAACAGCAAAAGTTAATGTTTAAACTAAATGATCTTTCAAATAACGTCTCTCTCTCTCTCTCTCTCTGTCAGTGAAGAGTCGAGCCAGAAAGATGGAGAGACAGCAGCACATGGAGAACATCCACAGCACAACCAGCACCGTCAACACTGTCAGCAGCTACTACTGACACACACACACACACACACACACACACACACACACACACACACACACACACACACAAACATTTTTATATTTCAGAATTTTTTTAATATTTCAACATGAAGGTGAACATTATTAAATTTTAGTTGCACATTTTTATGCGAATTAAAGTAATTATTCAACAACTTTTTGAGACTGTCTTGATTAAATTGTGTTAGAAATAAACTTCTAGTATGTTTTTGATCATGAGTTGTAAAGTGGAAGAAATGTCAGTATAATCCAGCCAATCGTGTCCCTCGTGGCATTCTGTGGAGGGTGCTGTGGGAGTATGGGGTCAGAGGTGCTCTGTTAAGGGTCGTCTCGTCCCTGTATGAACAGAGTAGGAGTCTGGTCCACATTGCATGGTTCACATCACAAGTCAGACTGGTTTCCAGTGCATGTAGGGCTCCGGCAGGGCTGCCCTGTCACTAATGCTGATTATAATTTTTATGGACAGAATTTCAAGGCGGGCGACGCAGTGGCGCAGTAGGTAGTGCTGTCTCCTCACAGCAAGAGGGTCGCTGGGTCACTGGTTTGAACCTCGGCTTGACTCGGCTCAGTTGGCGTTTCTGTGTGGAGTTTGCATGTTCTCCTTGCGTTCACATGGGTTTCCTCCGGGTGCTCCGGTTTCCCCCACAGTCCAAACACATGCGGTACAGGTGAATTGGGTGGGCTAAATTGTCCGTAGTGTATGAGTGTGTTTGTGAATGTGTGTGTGGATGTTTCCCAGAGATGGGTTGTGGCTGGAAGGTAAAAAAGCGTAAAAAATGTGCTGGATAAGTTGGCGGTTCATTCCACTGTGGCGACCCCGGATTAATAAAGGGACTAAGCCGACAAGAAAATGAATGAATGAATGAATTTCAAGGCGCAGCCTTGGGCTGGAGGGGGTCCAGTTCGGGGACCACAGGAATTCATCTCTGTTATTCGCAGATGATGTTGTTCTGTTAACTTTATTGAACATGGACCTTCTGCATGCACTGGGGCGGTTTGCTGCAGAGTGTGATGCGGCTGGGATGAGAATCAGCACCTTCAAGTCCGAGGCCATGGTGCTGCTCCGGAAAAAGGTGGTTTGCCATCTCCAGGTTGGAGGAAAGTCCTTACCCCAAGTCTCTTAGGGTTTTGTTCACGAGTGAGGGAAGGATGGAGCGTGAGATTGACAAGTGGATTGGTGCATTGAAGAAAGAGCTGAGGCAAAAGGCAAAGCTCTCGATTTACTGGTCAATCTACGTTCCAACTCCCACCTATAATCATGTTCTCCCCGTGTTGGCGTGGGTTCCCTCTGGGTGTTTCGGTTTCCTCTATAGTCCAAACACATGTGCTATAGGGAAATTGATGAACTGAATTGGCCGTAGTGTGTGTGTGTGTGTGTGTGTGTGTGTGTGTGTGTGTGTGTGTGTGTGTGTGTGTGTGTGTGTGTGTGTGTGAATGAGTGTATATGGGTGTTTCCCAGTACTGGGCTGCAGCTGAAAGACCATCCATTGTGTAAAACATATGCTGGAATTACATCTTACAAATGCAAGATGTAATTCCAGTAATTATATATATATATATATATATATATATATATATATATATATATATATATATATATATATATATATATATATATATATATATATATATATATATATATAAAATCAAGCTCCTGTGTAAGTCTCTCATATAAATAAAAAACCACGGCGAATGAAGTTCTGCACAAGACTTTTGGCCAGCGGAGAAATTAAAATAGTCGTGCCCAACTGAGTCTGGTTCTCTCAAGGTTTTTTTTCTTCACTCCCATCAGGGGAAGTTTTTTTCCCTCTCCGCTGTCGCCACTGCCTCGCATGGTTCAGGATTGGTAGAGCTACGCATCGATGAATTTGCTCTTCAGTGTTTGAACTCTCAGTAATGATTAAATCACACTGAACAGAGCTAAACTGAACTGAACTGAACTTAAACACTAAAACCTGAACCACACTGTTCCAGTTACTATGACCATTTATGTGAAGCTGCTTTGACACAATCTACATTGTAAAAGCGCTATACAAATAAAGCTGAATTGAATTGAATTAAATAATGTTATTTTAAAACTTTGCAATGTAATATTTCTCATGTGCATCTGTAGTAACAGCACACTGAACTAAATAATGCATGAGATTTACTAGATTTTTTAAAGTAAGTTTGCAAAATACTGATATGGGCTGAATGTAAACAAACCATTAACAATTGTTTGCAACCCCTTACCCCAAGAAAAATATAGTGAATCCAGTGCATCCTTTATGTGAGTGTACTAGTTCTCAGGGTTAATAATAAGCGTCCGTGTGGGCGGGACGGAGAGACTCACTAATTCCATCTCTA